AAAAAAAGTCCTGTACAACTATGACAACTTCTTTTTTTTCTGCTGCTGCAAGGAAACTGATAACACTGAAACATGTTGAAAGATAACCTGCTAACAGCAGGACAAGGGGAAATGGTTTTAAGTTGAGGGAGGGGAGATTTAGGTTGGATGTCAGGGGGAAATTCTTTACAGAGAGAGTGGTGAGGTGCTGGAACAGGCTGCCCAGAGAGGCTGTGGATGCGCCGTTCCTGGAGGTGTTCCAGGCCAGGTTGGATGGGGCCCTGGGCAGTCTGGTCTAGCATTAAATGGGGAGGTTGGTGGCCCTGCATGTGGCAGGGGGGTTGGAGAGTCATGATCCTTGAGGTCCCTTCCAACCCTGGCCGTTCTGTGATTCTGAGTTCAAAACAAACCAAACTGGTTATCTTTGGGTATGGAAAAAAAAGAAGAAGAAGAAGAAGAAGAAAAACAAAAAAGAACTTCCCCATCACGTTCTTTCTGTAAAAATCAGTTTGGCTTTTACTTGTTCCGAGTTATTTGTGAAGGAATTTGCAGTGATGTCCTGCAATGGAATATATATGGGAAACAAAGTTCCTTCTCCAAGTTACACTGCTAGTGCATTTATTCCTCCTATAATTTTTCAATGTATAACACAACCATATTTATGGGGAGGTTCAGGCACGGCGTTATGAGAAACTTCTCAAGCGTGAGAGCGACCAAACACTGACACAGGCTTCCCAGCGAGGCGGTCGATGCTCCGTGTCCGTCCGTGAGGCATCCGGGTAACGCCCTCCTTAATGAGCTTTAACTTTTGTTTGACCGCTAACGCCACCAACCAGAGCAACTTTCCGCTCGAGGCCCCGCGTTCACCGCCCGGTACGGCGCTGACGCGTAGCTTCCATGCCGCGCAGCGCCCCACGCCGCTTACGCACACAACGGCCCCGACGGCGCCGCGCGTCTGACGGCCGAGGAGGCGGCGACCGCCGTAGGCCGAACGCCGACCCGGCCCGGTGGGCGTTAGCTCCGCGCCCCGACCAATCGGCGGCCGCGCTGCGCCGGAGCCGCACCGCCCACTCTTTGGGGCGGGCCGTGCGGCAGCCAATCGCCGCCGAGCGGCGGGCGGTGCGAGGCGCTCGGTGCCGCCCCGTGAGGCGGCTGCGCCGTGGCCCTTGGGTGCCGCTCAGCGCCGCGGCCGCCGCCCGGAGGCCCCAGACAGGTTCAGGCCTCGCCGCTCGCCCCGGCCCGCAGCCCCGCGGAGGGCGGGGAGATGCAGCCCCCGGGCCCTCAGCAGCAGCCGCCGCCGCCTCCGCTCTTCGCGCCCAACAACGGGGACTTCACTTTCGTCTCCTCGGCCGACGCCGAAGGTGAGCGCGGGGCCGCTCCCGCTGAGCGAGGGCCTCGGCCCGGCCCGAGGACGGCGGGCGGCTCCCGCGTCCGCGGCGGAGGTGTCGGCCTTCTCCCCGTCCCGCCGGCAGGGCGCCGGGCGCCGAGGCGGCGCCGTGGCGGTGTGTGCGTGGCAGGGCCGGCGGGCTGCTCGGTGCCCTGACGTAACCGCGGCGCCCTCCGTCCGCGGCGCCCTCCCGCCCCCGACGCTGGCGGCTCGCTGTCCGTGAAGCCGCGCTGCCTGCTGGCGCCCGGCGTAGCCGTGCGCGGGGCTGTTTCGTACAGTAACGAGGGGTTAAGCGGGGACTGTGCGTAGGTTAGGGGTTGAGGTGCGGCCTACCTGCCGTGCGGGCTGCGTACCTGTCGTGTAGCTGCGGGCCGTGAGGGCTTACGTCTCGGCGCTGCGAAAAGAAACGTGGAAGAGTCAGCGTTGTGCTACCTTATTTTGATGGGGAACGACCGTTGGGACTGTAGCCATTTAAATAACCAGCTTTCTGCTCCATCTGCGTAGTTACCAGTAGTTGTGGATCGGGTTGGGAACGGTGTACGTCCTGGCTCTGGAAATGAAGAATGGAAGTGAAATGCCACTACAGAACGCTCTGTACAGAATGCTCTGTTCTTTGGTGAGCTTGTCAGTTCTTCTGACAGGGAATGCTAATCGACAGGTGCAATCCATGTTGCTTTATTTTCATTTTTTTCCCCTCTTCCATCTTGGCTTCCAGAAGAAGACTCTCTGGATTCTCCCTCGAAGTATTTGTTGAGAGCTACATTAGTGCTCTGCTGGACCTGAGCCATAGTAAGCACCCGTCCTGTAGGATGTGTTGAACAGGGTTTGGCTCTGCGTTCTCTGTGGGTGCAAGCAAGGTGTGATCTTATCCCTGTTTGAGTGTAGCCCTGTGTAGTCTGCAGTGTTCTGCCTGTGACAGTGGTGGTGAAAACATCCTGATTCTCAATAGCAAACACCAGAAACATGAATTCCTGTCAGGTTCTTCAGTGCTTGGTTGGCTTGCTATTAACTTTTTTGCCATTACAAAGCAGACAAAAGAAGAGGCAATAGCATATTTTTTTCCTTGGTTTCTTCAGCTTTGTCCCACCTGAGATATCATCTTCCAAAACAGACTTAAGGTCATGTTAATAGGTTTCATGATCTATAATGTGATTGTAGGTATTTTTGTAATTGTCTTCCGCTAAAAGGAGCATTGGTAAATAAGACTCATGTAGAAGATTTCTATCCTCAAGATGGGTTGTCACCAATCACTGAGAACAGAGAAATCAAATCAATGGCTGATTGGTTGTTAGTTTCTTGTTTTGACAGGCACAGTTGTGCGCAAAGTATAGCAAGGACCCTCCTTGCAAAGCAGTGCTGCATTATAGGACAGTCTGGTAACTTAAAATGACAGAAGAGTCCCGCTGATAATAAAAGACTTGTGAGCCTTTCTCTACCTTGAAGTTCAGGCTTTAAGAATCAATCTTTCCCCCTCCCTTCTCCTCTGAAGACAGCTTTCCTTGCATCTGATGGGAATGATGTTAATGTGCTTATGGGTACAGGAGCAAAGAGAAGTTCCTTCTTTAAGTTACTGTGATCTTCATAAGGATCCTGTGAGGATGATGTTCTTGGAATCAAAGCAGTAGATGGTTAGCTATCACAATTATGAAATGATTGAAAAGCAGTAATGGAGAAGCTTAAATTTAAGCTGGAGTGGCCTAACAAGCTGATTTAGGACAGAGAATTCTGTTAAATTAATTGTGATACTGAGCGTAGAGTAAATGATTCAGTAAATGCTGGCTGAACACTGTAGGACGTCCTGTCATTGTAAGAATCTAAATTCTCCAAACTAATCCACAAATGTGACCTGGCTTCTGTGTCAGGATGTGTTGCAGAAACATTTCAGAAGCACTCGCTGAAGCTGTGTGTTCAGGGAAATTCATACATGCGTTTGTGTGTACAAGTACACAACGATACAACTGCAAAACAAGGTTTTCTTTGGTGAAGCAAGATGATGTTGGATGGGAGGGGAGTTTTTGCCTCTCAAAACATTTATTACAAGGTTCATGCAAAGAACTGACTTGTTGCTGTGTTGTGTTTTTATGCAAAAAAGTAAATTCCCAAATTCTTAGAATGTGTGCTCTCGTCATACCTTTCTGGTTTTTTATTACTTCAAGCTGTTTAGTGTATAGTACTTAGTTACTATTCTGTCTTTTTCCTTGGTATATAACTGACAATGAAGTCAATAAAATTAATATTGGTGACTTTGACTCAGCTAAAACATGTAACAGTTGCTTATGTTTGTGTTTAGTACTGTGGTAGAGCAAGATGACAGCATGTTAAAGAGCATTCCTTGCAACTCTCATTATTGAACAGAACCTGGGGAGCTCTAGCAGTATTCTTTTTCCTAACGTTTTCCACTGTATTAAAAGCAGGTTACAAATGAGAAAAGCTACAAATGTTTTCCTTCTGTGAGAAGTTGGATGTAAGCAGAGAATAGTTTGGGTGAAACAATGCCACTGTGCAGGAATGAGCTCTAAAAGAGATAGAGTGGTCAGCAGAAAATGATAAATAATCCACAGTTTACGGTATGATGAGATTTTCATTAGTTTAATTCCTTTATGCTTCTGAATTATTAATGATAAAGCAGGAATTGCAGCATGCTCTGTTATCTAGAAGCTAGAACTTGCTAATTGGAGTCCTAAAACAACTTTGTTACTGTTGCATAAAACCAGAAATACCCTTTCAGATTATGTAACTGTTGGTGTATGACTTTGAATATTTCGTGATGATGAGCTGCACATCTAGCTTTTGTACATATTTATTTATTTTGCAGTAATTTTGAGGTCAAATGTGTTTTGGCAAAATAAAAACATATCTTTTCCTCTCCTTTTTTCTCCAAGATCCTAGTGGGTCCATAACAGCTCCAGATGTTAAGCTAAATCTTGGAGGAGAATTCATCAAAGAATCATCTGCAACTACATTCCTGAGGCAGAGGGGGTATGGCTGGCTTCTGGAAGTGGAAGATGATGACCCAGAAGATAACAAGCCACTCCTGTATGTACTAATTGTTTGTGGATATCTCTTTGTTAGCTGTGTAGGGAAAACAAAGAGCTTGTAAGCCCTCAAACTGTCTCCTAGTTTTCTGCTGTGGCTAAAATTCTGATTGACAAATTGCTTGACTAATTAGTCTCTTTTGGTGCAGGACTGAAAATGCTGTTTTTCCTTAAAGAGGGTTTTTTGTTGTTGTTGTTGTTTGTTTCTTTAGCTATAAAAGAGACTTGTTATTCACCGTGGGAGCGGAAAGAAGGAGGAAATAAAATTTCATTACGTTATAAGTATAGAAATTTAATGGCTTTTGTATTCTTATCTGTTTATCTTGTCATGGTTTAAAAAACTACATTGTGTTCTGCAGCAGGGTTGCATGTAAGGTAGCAGAAACTTGATATTCTCTGATGCTACTTTATGAAGTTCTCTTAAGGGAGATTATTGTTGAAAGACAAAAATGTCTTTGAAACTGCCGATGTCTGCATCACTTGTTCTGTTCCCAGAAACATGATTGTCAGAAGAAAGCTGTATCTGGAGGTTATTACACTGAGGGGGGCTGCCTGGGTCTTAGACTGTGTTCTCCACCTAGGCAACATCATTCTTGTTGTCTCAAAGTTTTCCTGTGTTTAAAGATGATGATGCTTTTAAAAACGGAATGAGAAGGAAAGAACTCTGAAGAGCTGAAATAAGAGCGCTGAAAGAAAACAGATGCCTGGAGAGCTTAATAATGAAATTGTTATTTGAAAAGTACTTGAAATGTGCAGAAGTAGCACCTGTGTGACTGAGTCTGTTCTGTAAACCTGAAATTTTTAATTAAGAAATAGAATGGCGTACCGAGGTGACAACACATGAATTCCCTCTTCTGTTGTATGCCACAAAAAAAACCCAAGTTTGCGATTCAGAGACAGCTCTGTGTTCTAAGAAGCCTATTCTTGGAAGTGAGAACAAGCCAGGGATAATTTTGTAGCGAAGAGGACAAATATCATCTTCCTAACAGAGAAACTCAGTCTGATTTCATGTTGCAGCTTTTATGCAGTTCTGATTATGTGTGAAGTGTTCTAATCAGAATGCTTCTATAGATTTAAAGAATAGCAGACAGCAAAGATAAGTTCACTGATGCAGTGCTGTCACACAAGCATTTTGTTCAACAATTAAATTATTTCTTTCCCCTCACTGGACAGCTGTGCTTTTGGTACTTGTCTTCTGTTACAGCTATCATCGCCTCTTCAGTGAGGTAACTGTCAGCTTTGTGGGAAAGAGCTTTTTTACTTGGAACACTATCAGAAACTTTAAGAAGTGACAAAGAAGTCCACAAAGGAAATATTTCTGTTATGCAACTGTCAGACTGGAATCTCTATATAATAAATAAACAAAGGAGAAATATAATACTGCTTTAAAATGGAGAAAAAATGGATGCTTTTGGTTTACTCCTTTATTCAGGGTTGTGCTAAGGAACATTTTTTGTTATTTAGGCACAGGTTAGTAACAAAAATCATGACACAGCCTCACTAACAGCAATCCTGAAATGGACTTGAGAGAATCAATGAACAGTACTTCATTTTTGAAAGAGAAATAGTTGTGAATTGTATTTATTTCTTGCTGCTTCTTTATTTTCTATTGATCTGATGAGATATATTTTAGTTACATTCACTAATCCCATACCATTCAAAATATTTCTTTTAGAATTTGAAACAAAATTATTCCATAATAGGTGTTCTCATGGCAAACTTCAGCATAGAAATACGCAGACATCCTACTGCTGAGTACACGTCTTTGACTTCTGTTTCCAATTTTATGAATGTCACACGTTTCTGTATGCCAGAAAATAGATCTCCTGTCTTAATGGAGACTATTAAGATGTGCTGTGGATGTTTTCTATTCTCAGGCGTGTAATTGAATTTTGTAGAATAAAATACGTCCATGTCATACTGGTTACTGAATGTGTGATGAAGGTATGGCGTTGGTTTTCTGTGGACAAATTGTTCCATTGCTAGTCATGGCTACAGAAAGCCTTATGGTGACAAGAGACCCGCTCTGTAACCTTCTCTTAGTCCATGAACTTAATTTTTAGGATCTGTTTCATTTCTGTGCTGTATAGTAATGCTCCCTTGCTTTACAATTTCAGGGAAGAACTTGACATCGATCTGAAGGATATTTACTACAAAATTCGATGTGTGTTGATGCCTATGCCATCTCTTGGGTTTAATAGGCAGGTAGTGAGAGACAATCCAGATTTCTGGGGTCCTCTGGCAGTTGTCCTCTTCTTCTCAATGATTTCATTATATGGACAATTTAAGGTAGGTACAAACCTTCTACTTAAGAAGAAATCGGAACTAAATTTGGGGACATTATTGCTAAGCAATTTGCATTCTTATGTAGGCAGAAAGTGTCTTCTTCACATATTAATGTAGGGCATTCTAAATATAGTTTTTTGACTTGAGATATAGAAAGATAGCAATAAGAAATTTATTAAATAACCTACAGAAAGGTTAATCTTTATTAAAATGTCAGGCTTTTTTATATAATAAAATGAAAGAAAGATGTGGTTTCTAGAGGAAATAGATCAATGCTAACACATTTATAGTCATTAGTGAATCTTTCCATTTTAGTTGTAACCTTTTGTTAACTTGCATTCTATTACTAAAAGCGATACCAAAGAACATTTGTGTAGATGTCATGAATTCTAATTTCCCAGCAGGTTAAGCTATTTGTTTAATCTGTGATATATTACAATGGTTTTCTGGTATGTTTAGTCTTCATTAGTGCACATTACTCTTTTGTCCTCTATGCTCAGTTACAATAACTTTCCTCTGGTTAATAGAATTTGCCTATAATTCTTTTTGAATTCAAGACTGAATAGTTATTTGAAGGTACTGTGCAGATTTACTTGGCTTCTCTAAACACAGATAAGCTCACATTCAAATTGAAATAGAGAAATCTATCATTTACAGTCACAATTTGAGTGTGAGCCTAGTTGATGTTTTTCTAGTAATGCATCCCCCTATGGAAATATTTGACTATGTGTGTAGTTACAGATTTTTTAATTACAGCGTAGAATAGCAGTAAGGCATATATGTAAAGTAGCAGAGTATGTGCTAGGATTTTTGTGAAAGGTAAGAGAGGGTCTCTGTGGCCTCTGACTTCCATTTGGTATACCAAACAGTGATGAAGATTTCACTCTGTCATGTTTCTGTGAGACTTGAAGTGAGTAGACCAAAACACTGTAGGATTCAGATCTTCTGGGTGCACCACTTAGCTGTTTTCTAGACAAAGCAGGGACCATCCCTCAATCCCATGATGAATCAGTTTGCTGCTGTTGTTTGTGTATCTACTGCGTGTGAACAATGAGCCTAATGTTCATTAGGAACATGGATTTACCATATAGATGTAAGAGTGGGTTTTTTGTGTGAGAAAGGAAAGCTGGTAGCTAGCAACAGAATGGATGACAGCAGCTAGGCTAGATGAACTAGGTGGCCTGTAAGCTGGAGAGAGATCAGCATTGCTGCTTTAAGACTTTGATCTGTTCTTTTAGACAGTGGAGGAAAGCAGGAAGTAAAATGAGGACATGTTATTTTCACAAATAATGTTGTATCTATCTAATTTCTGATCAAGTTATATGATTTGTATCAGTTAAAAAAAATAAATACCTTCATCCTCTTTTTGATTCTTCTGTAAATCTGGAACTTATGTGAAAAAAGGAGTTGGGTGCTAATGTTCATTTTTAAATGCTGCCATGGTACAGTTGAAAATACAAAGAGTGGACTGAAATTATTATTTCCATCTAAGCAAATATTTCAAAAGGGTGAGCTTTGCTTGTAATCCACCCAGTGGCTGAACCCCAGAAAAACCTAAGATACTTTGAAGGTTCTGTTAAGCTGAAGAATGTTTTTAAGACTTCTGAAACAATGAAAGAAGGAGGAAAATAATTACAGTGGTTTTTTTTTCCAGGACTCCAAATCTGTTTCTTAAATTTTAATCATAATGTTTTATCAAGAATTAAAGTCTTGTGTCTTCTGGGTATTCCTGGTCTGATAAAAGAATTGTGTCTTTATAGATGAAGGAAGGAGAATCTCAACTCTTCGTACTGGTTAGGCCGACTTATGGAAAAAAAAGACCAAAACCTAACCAACCAAACAAAAAAAGCTGAGCCAATTTTTTTGAATAAGTGAAGATGTTTAAGTAGAGTGATCATAGCTTTACTTTTAGCTAACCTCTTCCTACTCTGCTGCAATAGCATAGTACTTACAAAACACTTGTTTAAGCATTCCTTCTTCATCGAACTTACCATTACTGTGATTTTGTAAATGTAACATCTGAATTTTATTTTCAAGCTCCATTGTGGTACTGAATAAAACTATTCTTGCTGCAATTCAGAACTTAATTTTGTGTAATAAAACTCTTGAGTGCAATGAGGCGATTTATGATTTGTCATTCCTTACAGTGAAAAAGTGTAATGTCAATTAATTGTTCTTTCCATTTTAAGGTTGTTTCTTGGATTATAACTATCTGGATATTTGGATCCTTGACAATTTTTTTACTGGCCAGGGTTCTTGGAGGAGAAGTAAGTACCTCTAATATATGAAAAGTTGGTAGGAGGAGGTAATTTCAAGTTCTCTTGGCTATGTTTTTCAGTAGCGGCTGGCTTTTCTTAGCACTTGACTTTTGACGTTGTAGCCACCTAAGAATGAGTGAAATTGAAAACTTTACTGCATAGATTTCAGTTGCTTGATCACCAAAGTAAAAGCTAAAGTATAGAAGTGGGCAGCTGCTCTTGCTGTGCAGTGCATGGAGAGCTGGATGTGTTAAACTATCTGCAAATTCTTACCGCACATCTCAGAGCTTGTTGTGTGTGCTTCTGATCCAGAGCTGAAATCCTTTCTTGAGGTCAGTTTTTTTGAAATGCTTTCCATTTTTTCAGGCACTGAGCTAAATGGAGCCATTTATCTCACTTTTCTGAAACTGGGCTGGCAGCAGTTGCATAGCAGCCTTTTGTACAGAGCACCTACTGGTGTTTGTTTTCATCCTTGGCCTGATGGAGTTCAAACCCATTAAGGGATGAAAGTCAGTGTATGTACAGCTTCAGCTGCAAAGCCAATTGAAGTTCTGGCCTACATCCCTCCCTCCAGCCACTTGCATCAGCAGGGTTGGCATAGCTGTTAAAGCTGTGTTTAAAAACTGAGTCACTGAGTGATTCAGGTGTAAACAGAGTATCATGGCTTACAGCAAAGCCCACAAACAGCTACTGTGGAACAGTCACGAGGATAGAAACTTCTGAAAATGGATTTGCAGTTTAAAATGCATTCATCGTCTTATTATTATCACTGATAAGTAATTTTTATATTTTTACTATGTATTTTCTGTTAATGATAAACTAGTTTTGCAGACTTCCTACATTATTTAAGTTTAGTGTGGTTTGGTGGTGGTTGTTTTATTTTTTCTTTTTAGGTTTTCCTTTTAATCATAATTGCTAGAGGCTTTTTGTCTGAAAAGTACTTGGAAAGAAAAAGTTCTTATGAATGTGATTGCGTGATATTGTAGCATACCAGCATAATCCAGATGCCTTTAAGTCTGCAGGTTTTGTAGCTCAAAATGTAAAATTATCAGAATGTATTAAGTGGTGAGAAAGGGGAGGGGGATTACTATAGCTCTTCAGAGTTGATTGTTGAGGACTTACTGCCACAAGAGGTTGCTTAAAGATAGTTGCTTGTCTTGCTGCTATTTTTCCTAAGTTAAATCCAGCAAGTCTAACTGAGCCAAGGGACGTTTCCAACTGCAATAGGGAAAAATCAGATGTTTTAATACCATGAAGCTAATAGCAGCTGTGGAAGTACTTTGAACAAATCTGTTCAAGCTAGTCAGTGTATATCAGGTTCTAGATCTTGATCTAAATGCTTCCCTTAGAAGTGTTAAAATTGTCATCTGAAGTTGTTTTCATTTTGGTTTTTAAAAAAAGTTGTGTTTCTTAGAAAGATTAACTACAAAATTCTGGAGGATTGAATAGAAAAAAACAGTTTGCGTGCTACCAATCTTCCTTTGGCTAAAAATTCATGAATTGTCAACGCATTTTTATGGTTACTCATACTGTGATAACTGGAAAAAATTTTTTGGTGAAAGTAATTTTGTACTAAAGTTTGTTTTTATGTGCTTGAAAATTCCAGGTTGCTTATGGCCAAGTTCTTGGTGTGATAGGATATTCCTTGCTTCCCCTCATTGTCATAGCACCTGTACTTTTGGTGGTTGGATCATTTGAAGTGGTTTCTACCTTAATAAAAGTAAGTTCAATAACATGTATTGAGAATTGTTTACTGTTATTGAGTCACTTTCCTAACACTTGAAGTATTAATCCATACAGGACAACACCTGTTAAAATACTCAGAAATAGAACCTGAACTCTGTGGTTCTTTTGGTTATGGCTGCTAAGCAAATTTTGTTTTAAATGTTTATTTTGAGTATTTGGGAACATACAGTTCCCGAGGAAATATAAAACCACCTGTTTTATAAGCTTAGCTTCTGTTTAAGTATTTTGCCATGTTATATTAGTTGCATTAAAAATTAAATAGGACTATCATTTTTAAAGAAGGATGCATAATTAAAAATCAGAATGAAGTATCTGAAAATAAGCCGTTTTATCCCTTCCCCCATCATCAAGTTTTAGTTATTACTGTACAGAAGTAGAACTTGAGGCACAAAGCAAAAGTAATGTCCTTGATACTACCTGCTGTTGGACACCTTTGATGAAACTTGCATCATTTCGTGATAGATCCTAGAAGTGCATGATGTCCTTGAACACTTAATACAATTCTCATAGTTGGCTTCTGAAGTCATTGCTAAACTTCTGGCACTGACTGAGAAAACTTTCTGAGATCTTGCTCTGATGATTTGATTAATTTCTGTCCTATTGACTTGCTGGTTTGCAACATAATTGAAATACAACTGACTGTATGATAAACCAGAGCTCTGCTTGTGATTTGATAACTTGCAATTGCTATTAGGGGATACATTCAGAAAGCAAATTATTAACTTGGCAGTTAACTAATATGTAACTTAAAAATAAATACAAGTAGCTAATGAAACATCTGTTACCTGATTGCTAATAACCTTTCATTAACTTCAGGGCAAACCTATACAAGTTTCTTACCTTTGGATGATTAGTGTGAAAATGCAGGACAAGCTCCATGGGGTCAAAACTACCTACGCTGACAAGTACTACTTCCTATGGCTTAGGTGCTCTGGGGACACACATTCCTTAGTCTTAAAGCTGGGGAACTTAAGGAGTGAAACAGCATTAGTCAGTTGTCTTCCAGCTGCAGTCAGCAAAGTAAACTACTTAAGCACGTTGATTGGTTTGGGGTTTTTTTGCTGCAGTTTTCTTAATGTATCAGAGAATTTAGTCACAATCCTGAGATAGATATATAATTATTATATATATCTAATAATTATATTTTTAGATATATATTATTATTTCTTGTTCATCTCCACAGTCCCAGTTCAGGCAGTTCAATCACTGGTATGCAGCTGGGGTTGGTTTGTTTTTAGCGGTGGCAGTTGAACCAGTCACACCATCCATCAAGCATCTTGAACTTCTCTGACAGCACTGTGGGAAAAATTCTTTACTGGAATTCTGTTGTGTCTGCCCTTCACTGAACAGACCTTTGGTCTTGCTGCTTGCAGGAAATGAGTGCTTTTCCTTTGTTGTTAATATTCAAGTTGTTGCTTGAGGATAAAAGATGTCCCATTATTTTTTTTGCTGTAACCTTATTTACTTGAGACTTGTGTCAAATTCACTAACCTGAAGACTTTGAAAAATGAAGTTTTAGGTAACATAGTGAATATTTACACATAGTGATACTTTCTACCAGTCTTTTGAAATGGTTAGTTATTAACTGAGGAAGCAATCAAGGCTTTGATACAGATTCTATTTTGGGAAGCTTCTCGTTGCACCTGAAGGGAGTAGGAACATAAAATTTCAGTTACTTTAAGTTGGGGGCCCTAATTAAAGTAAAGCTTATGAGTTAGACAAATCTTGAAGTAAAAAAGGGCAATTTAACCCTCTGTTATATGTCATAGGAGGAAGTCAAGCATAGCAACTTTTTTCTTCAGAGAAAAAAATCAGTGTTTTTTGAGTTGAAGAAACTTACAACCTGTATTATCCATGTGTCTTATGTTAGAGAGAACTGACTGTCAGTTAGCTGCTTGCCTCAGTAGAAATGTCTTAGTCTAAAGTAACACACCTCTGGTAAATACTTTTCTAGACTTAAATGATTATTCATAGCGTGTTATTTCATGTGTGGGGTCAGAAGTATTGCTTGTCAGGTTCGCTTTATTATTTTCTTTCTTCCACACAAAGTTGCACATTTCTAATTACCTTGAAAGTAGCTGTTGTTGGTTTGTTTGTTTGTTTTTTAATTTTGAGCAATTTTCTTATGGCATCAGCTATATGAAGACCATTTGTTTTCTATTTCAGCTGTTTGGAGTCTTTTGGGCTGCGTACAGCGCTGCATCTTTACTAGTTGGAGAAGAATTCAAGACCAAGAAACCCCTTCTAATTTATCCCATCTTTTTATTATACATTTATTTCCTGTCCTTGTACACTGGGGTGTGATCTAGTGAAAGATGTGGCCAAAACCCATGTTTTCTTCACTTGCAGACTGATAACGCATAAGATTAAGGAGGCTGGAAATAATACAAGTGACTGTTTTGTATCCAGTTGTCAAGATGTTTTAAGATTGAAGAGCATATTTGTGTATATTATTTAATGAAGTAATTGTAGCTATATAGATTTGTATCAAAGTTCTAGGTTTGTTTAAGACTCTTCAGATTTTAATGAACAAAATAAAAGACCTTGTGTTTTATAAAAAAAAAAAAAAAAAGTGTAGCAAAACCAGAACTCTATACCTGTGCCAAAAGCACTAGGACCAGATTACTATATTAGAGGAGAAAAATAAGTTAATTGTAAAATCTCAAAGTGCAATTTTTTCTTTCAAGCTCAAACAGCTGGCTTTTTTTGGCACAGCAAATTCTGTAGATAATATATATATTTATTAAACAGTCCTTACTGTTCACAGAATAGCCTGTAAAATGAAGACATGAAGATACTACTTATAATTTAGTGCCTCAATTAGTTTCATTTGGCTCTTGAGTTTTTATAAATTCCAATTTGTTCCCAAAATATGTATATATTGTGTATTTTGTATCTATGGCTTGCGTGTAGCATATGTACTCCTTGGTTAAGGATGTATATTGGGTTTTCAAAATTTGAAAATACAAGTATTTGAGGTCTTCATTTACCATCTCTGACCAAAGGAGCAAGACACTTACTGTGTAACATAAAACATTAAATTGCTTCTTCAGAGACTCAAATTAATTTACTCCTGTTTTAAATTTAGAAAGAAACAGGTGAATACCTTCCTCAACTGTAGTGCTGGCTTAGTGTCAGAGGGGAAACAAAAATCCAATTTGTGTGCTCTTGAAACAATGTTTTATGATGACAAAATAATAATAAAAAAAAGCTTCCCTAAGTATATTTTATAACATCTTGCTCTATTATTTTTTTTATAGTAATGACATTTAACCTGCATATACTTTTTTCCCAAGGTTGATTCCTTACAAAAAGTAACAATATTTGTAAGGTCAGATTCTTTCCCCTTTACCCCCATTAAAAGAGCTAGAACTAGAGCCTCAGTAACAGTCTTGCTAATTTTGACTATCCAAGGATTATGTAAGAATGTGATGACATTAAATATTTCCTGTGTACTGTGTTGATTGCTTATGTAATAGTCCTAACGGTAACGTTTCTTCACAAGAAAACTCCACTGAAATTCACTTTGCATGGTACTTCGTCGTTTGCAACCTTCAGTAGTTAGCATTACCAAATAGATCTCAAGTATCTTTTATTATTTTTTTAATCTTTGGTTGGGGGAAGCATTTCCCTAGCCTTTTTTTTTTTTTCCTCCCCTCCACCCCAATGCAGGAAATAAAAATCACCCATGAAAGGGAATAGCAAGGGCTATCTTTGATCCGTAATGGATGTATTTCCTTGTGAGAAGTTTCTCAGCTTTTTCAATGGCATAACTTGCCAGTTTAGCAACTTATTTTTACCACTCATTGTTGATGCAAAATACAAATGTAAATTCCAGTTCTGCTGTGACCCTTTAGCTTACTTGGACTACTTTTCTGGCTGATGCTTGCGTTGGTTTGAAACAAAACTATTGAAAGTTGATATTGGATATAAAAACTGTAATATTCTAGCTTGTAATACATTAAAGGATAAAACCTGGTGGAGTGACTGACTTGTCACCTAATTTTTGACTTCTGTGGAAGTTTTGGTGGAATTGCTGTAGTCATAATAAACCTTATGCTGGCAGCTTAGTTCTTATCTGGAATCTTTTAAGAATACTCATTCCCCACTTAAAAAAAAAAAAAGTTAAAGTGATGCACCCTAGCTTTGTTTTGAATAATAATCTGGTCTTATCTCTTTCATGGCTGTGTTTCTTAATCAGGAGTATCAGGCTGTAAGACTGCAGACAAACACTGAGAGTTCACGTTTAATGCCACCGCAAACATGAGAGGTAAGGATGCACGTAGTTTACTGGGCTGTCAGAGGGCTTAAGGCTCACCTCCTCCTTGCACAGCTGTTCTGTAGGTGTTCATTATAGACCTGTGCATCTGAAATGACTATAAACATTGAGGATGCAATAACGTTCTATTTTGTCTTGAAATATCTTCATTTCCTCTGTATTAGCGTTCTGTGAAACAGATAGCTGCAACTTAAATGTTCCTTTTGGCAGATTGGGCACACGTAATATGCAATGTCAATATGCACAACAGTACATATTTTGTACGCAATTGCAGATTTGCACCTGTTACTCCGCATCTTTAGGGTCACCTTTTGCTTAGGCCGTGCAAAAATATGTACAGACAGCTCAAATGGTTCTCATAGTTTGTAATAACTTTGCATTCAATAAACTTATTTTTAGATAAGGTATGTGTAAGTACAAGATGTATTTTATAAGAGTTTTTAATTAAGCTTGTTTACGTCATGTATATTTATTAAGGCACATCTCTATTCCTATCCCTGTCATCCATCCCAAGCTTTGTGACAATAAATAAATGCTGGGCATAATAACTACACAGCTTTTATTTGTCATGTATGGACGCCCGGTACCTACCAGCAACGCGGGCCTTCAAGATGGAGCACGTTACATCAAGGTGGAGATGCGCGATCGCCACGTGCTCTTTGCCGTGCGGACACCGAGCCGCACACCCACTGGGAAATTACGGGAAGCCGTCGGTCTGGCTCGGAGACACGCACGCTTTCCCGCTATTAACTTCTGCTACAATGCTTTGATAAAGACGCTCCCGCACAGGGGAGCGCCGTGGCTACGTCCCGCGGCTGCTGAGGGCAGCTGCAGCCTGAGGGCTGCAACGCCTTCGTAGCGCCGGCTCCGACGGACCGCCTCCAGGTGGGCCCCAGGGGCCGCCCGCCGCTACGGCAGCGCAAAACCTGTCATTTTTGAAGCCCGTTAACAGGGCGGCGTCCTCGTGCTGCCGGCGCCGGGCGGACCGCCCCGAGAGCTTCCGCGCCGTTCTCCCGGCTTTCACCCGGAGCGCTCAACGGCGCGGCGGTGAAGACACGGGACGAGCAGGCGGCACGAGGCGCGGCCGCCGCCCTGCCGCCGGGGGCGGAGCTGCTGCCGCCGCCGTCGGGCAACGCGGCCCTGCGCGCGCGCGAGCGGCCCGGCAGCGCGCGCGGGAGGCTCGCGCCCTTCGGAGGCGGCGCGCGCGGCCCGGCTCCGCCCCTCGCTTCCCTTCCCGCCCGCCATTCTCTGTGACGGGCGGCCGCTCGTTCCCTCCTCCCTCTCTCGGGCCCGCGCTCGGTTCCGCATCCGGCGCGATTGCGTCACTTCCCTCTCACGCTGGCGCTCTCCCTTTCCCCCTCTCCCCGGACCCGGATGGTGACTGGCGGCGGCGGCCGGGCCTGTCACTGAGCGGCCCCGGGCCTCTTGTCCTGAGGGCGGCGGCGGCCGGCAACATGGCGGCGGCGGCCTCCTGCTCCGCGGCGGCGGCGCCCGCTGGGCCCGGACCGGGGCCGGCGTCGGCCGGGCCGGGCTCCTGCGAGTGGCTGCTGCTGCGGGACGGCTGCCTGCGCTGCGACGCCGACGGGCTGTGCAGCCTGTGCTACCACCCGGCGCTCAACGCCATCCTGGCCGTGACCGCGCGCGGCGCCATCAAAGTCATCGACGGCACCTCGGGGGCCACGCTGCAGGCCTCGGCCCTCAACGGTGAGCGCGGCCCCGCGGCGCGGAGAGGCGGCGGCCCCGCCGTGCCGTGCGCCATGGCGGCGGGAGGGGCGGCCTTCGGGCGGGGGTCGGCCGGCCCCGGGGCAGCGCCGAGGGGCGTTCCCGGCTCCTCCGCACCTCTCCGCCTTTGCGAGCCGGAGCCGTTCCTGCTCTCTCCGGCGGACGCGCTCGTGTGGGCAGCGCCGGGATGTCCGCGTTCCGTAACGCGGAGCGGCGTGGCCGCTGCGGGCTGAAGCGCGGATAGAAGAAGAAAGGGCCGCGTAGGGCGGCGTTTTGCCGCTTCGGTTTTTCAGGTGTCGGCGGCATAAATTGGAGCCTTTGAGCGCGTTGTGCTGGATGGGCGTAGTTCTCGTTGCCGTCGATGGGTGATACTGTCGCGTGTGTAAGTACTGAGCCTTCAGCCGGGTTCGTTAAGAAGGCTTTCTCAAGGGTGCGATTTGTCTTGCCGCTAGGAATTACTGAAGATTGAAGTCGTTCTGAAAGTTTTTTGCTAGTGCGTTTTGAATGTACGTTTGCATTGTTCTCCGGGCTGCTGAGTGTCACGGCTGTCTTTGGTGCTGGTAGTAACATCTTTGCTGCGATGGTCAGGCAGGTCCATCTTAGTGGCCTTTTCCAGCTTAAACTGTTTGGTGATCCTGTGGTAGAGGGACACAGTTACACGCTGGCTCAGGCTGGCAGCACCTCGGTAACTACAAAGGAAACTACAGTGTTCTCTGTTGCCCAATGATGTTTTTTACTCTACTTACAAACTAGGTCTGTAGGAGAAGTTCCATGTGCAACTCAGGCTTTTTTCCCCCCCCCCCTAGTTCGTGCATTTGTTCTTAGGCTGTGGTACTTGTCAGAATACTGCAGGGTGGGTTTTTTTGTGTTGTGAGAGCAGACCTTGGAATAGAAATTTGTACTCTCACTTGTTGTGTGCTTTGCACTTTGTTTCTCCTTACGGTTGTAGAGTTAAGTGTTGTGAAGTGCATCCAGCTTTGCTGAGTGGTGTGAGTGAAGGATTGATGGTTGTCACCTGCATGTAGCCTAGCGATGTCAGCAATTGTATGGATGTGACACAGTCTGAGTAATATATGTGCTTTTACCTTGAAAACCAGCGACTGTATGATATTGCCATGCTAAAGAGAACAAAATAAAAAACATCATTTCTTTTCACGATTCGAAGTTAGGTGCATTATAAACTCATAAGTGGTTGGAGAAAAAATAATTTCTGTGGGATACAGAAACTGTCAGCTGCTTTTGTTGTACCTTGCTTGTATTGAAAGCGAGAATCTTGTGTGGTGTTCCCCACTTTGTTCAGAATTCAAATCACTGCTTCTAAAATACCCTTTCTTCTACCTTACTTGTTCCTCAAGTGCTTCTACATTAATAACTTCCATTTCTTTTCTTCAAACTGTTACCACAATTTGAGGATTGCTTCTGAGTTGTGGGGGGAGTAGGCATAAATGGCAGACTTGATTTGTAATTGGTTGCCTGTGTAGGAAATGTTTAATGTCCACGAGCAGAAGTGAACTCTAAATCACTAAAGTCTGAGGTTTGGGTTTGTGTGGTTTTTTTTTTTTCATTTTTCTGTGATAAAATTCTTGCAGGGGATTTGATTTGGTATTCAAAACGCTAATGGCAATTTTCCCCTACATAGTAACTATTTAAAAATAACTTACTGCTCTGCTTATGTTACATACATTCAGCCATGCGTGCTTCCGGTAGTGTCAGTCTTCTCTGTGACAGGCGGAATGACTGCAAAAGATGGATTCTGCTCCTCCTCACGCCAAACAACAGAGCTGCTTGCAATGTGACCAAATATTGTCTGCTCCCAGATGGCTGATGGTTCTGTTTAAATTTATAACCTGCACTACTTTGAAGAAAATACAAGTGAACATCATTACAGATTGAGACTGCTGTCAGAAATGGGGTACATCTCAGCAGTTGGTGGCTGTTGAGGTGGCTGTTGAGGCTGCTGTTGACTGTGCTGATTGTTGTTCTCAGCCATTCTTTGGAACGAGGAGAAAAAGAGAATTCAGCTGTTCTCTGATGTCTGCTTACTCTGTGCGGACAACCTTTTCGAGTGTCAGATGTTGGTAGCTGGACACGCAGACCTGCAGGCCGGCTCTGTCCCTGTGTGCTCTCCTGACAAGTCAAAGTATATTGTTGCTACGGGGACTTCTGGTGCCACACCTAAAAATAGTCTCTAGGAATTAAAACTGCTTCTCTTGAGAGGCTGATGTCCTCCTTGATGACTGGGCTGCAGGCCTTTTGCCCTGCCAAGAGGTTTGCGTTGGACAGCAATGCTTTTGCATTTTGCTTGTTATCTATGGGGATAAAAAAACAAACGAACAAAACCATGCCAGCCTTTCTCTCTAGAAAGCAGAGGAAGAAAAAGGATCCCCTAACAAGGGAAAGAAATAAAAATACAATAAAATGAAATATCACCAAACCCTGGTATTGCTTTCATCTGTGGTTCGCTGTGAGAAGATTTTAAGCTTTGAGCTCCTTCTTAGTGAAAAGATTGAAGCTGTGGAATACTAAAATCAGTAGAGCAGTGGAGCCTGCATTGATTACAATGTATATGCGGATCACTGTCATTGATGTATTAAAAGAACAAGACAAAAGATTCACAGCCAGAAGGCAGTTCAGTTATAGATCATGTCTTCATGCTTCCGGAGATTTGGATGCGGTCTCTGGCCTTTGTGTTCAGTTTCTGATGTCAACATAATTGGTCTGATTTATCTGATGATCTGGGGATTGTTCTTCTGAGCCCAAGTTGCAGGAATTCCATGAGGAATACTTAGGCTTTTCACTCCCATCCCGTGCTTCTTTGGGATGCAACACTGGATTTTCTAAGATTTGCCTTCTGAATGTGTGCAATCATTTTCTACTGTTTAAGTCTGTTCCTTGTGTGGGCACTGTGGGTGTATTCAAGACAGCCAGGAATCGGTTGCAACAGCTCAGAGTGTGATAATGAAAAAGAGTGTCTTTGGCAAGGGGAAAATGAAGTGAGCATTTAGTGTGAATCTTTGTCTTACCTGGTAGGGATTGTTCTTTCTATTCTCTTAAGTGAACACGGTCACTTCACAGAGACATGCAGGCAAATGCAAGAACGGTTCTTGTGATTGCTGGCAGTTGTGCATTTCTGTGTGCATGTTAGTAGTGGTCAC